CAGCCGAACTAGCAATCCTCAACAATTTTTTAATTTTTACACCAGGAGCTAAAGGTCTGTTTCAGGAACTCACATCCCCAGCAATCGGCAGTTGTAGTATTAAGCTGTACAAGGGTTCATACACCGCTAGTTGGCAGTGTTGTGCATATATTGAACATGAATTATTGCCAGCTAGTAAGTGACTAATTGAACTTGCGTTTTAAAATTAGCTTCCGCAATTTTTCTATAGCATAAGCGTTTTTGAAGTTATGGACCTAAATATTTACATAAGCGCTTTAGAAATTGCAGAGCTAATTTTTGTATTAGCGCTGCCCACCACTGCTTATACCTTTATAAAGCCTGTTTTCTCTTCTAACTCTCTGGAGTCCCTTCACTCTGATCTGGTCACATGACCTATTTAAATTGCTCTAACTGGAACGAAACGCCCTCTCTGTGACTTTGTTTCAGTGTTAGTCAAAAGTTCAGACTTTGAACTTTACAGCAGTTTTTAAATTGTCGTAAGAGCAACTGGAGTTATGGTGAACAGTACATGCCGCATTTTATTTTTTTCTGAAAATGACCGTCCTGTTTTATATGCATTACAGCGGCAGACAGAAGGAAACACGGTAGTAGTGGTGGGCACTAGTTCCCTAAAGCACTATAGCGCTAATGGCAYACCTAAATTTCTTGTTTGCGCTTTGACTTTTGCTAAATTTTTTGAACTGAGCACGGATAAATTAATTATTTCACCAAGTATTCTCTCGAGCTGAATAATCATAAATTTCCTGATTTTCTTTTCAAACTGAGGTCCAAAGTTCTTTGACAAACTGAAAGAGTTTACAAGAAGAAGAAAATAAAAAAATGCAAAAATTCAATGAAAGGACGATGGAAAGARGGCCAGAGCAGGAGGAAGTAATTAAAAGTAATTAGATTTGTAAAAAGTTCCAAAGTTGGCGGGAGTAGAACATTCCCTGTCAGATTTAGTTAAGTTTTTAGGTGTCTATCTTGACAGGAATCTTAACTGGAAGAGCCATGTAAATGAAAAGAGTAAGAAGGTAGCAATAACCGTGTTTCCATCAAGGCTTTTTGATGCASATTTAGAAGTGTCGTATTAAAAATGCGAAAAAAAGTCGGATGGAAAAAGCAAAATTCGAAAAAAAATTCCTRAATTCGCTAAAAAGTTTTTACGCTCGCTTGAGGTGGTTTTTGGATGATTCGCAAAGTAGTTAATGRGCAAAACGGGAGATGGAAACATGTTTGCCGAATAWATTCTGACGTATRGCATATTTACCTCACGTGACYTTCAGCTGTTTCRGCTTTCCTGCCTCGTTGGTGCTGCGTAGTTTAACATTGRGTTTATTTCCCTACGTCTCCTGGCAGCGTTAAACATAGCCTGTACCAGCTGAATAGAAAGAYTAAGTACAACTTGCCCAATATTTTGAAAATTTCGATAAAATTTCACTTTACAACTGGATGGAAACACGATTCATGTGCCTACACCAGTGAAGGAGAATTGCAGGTAGTGGTTGGGGTGCTACCCCACAGTTTATCAGATGGATCTACACAGCCATAGTCAGCCCCATGCTATGCCATGCTGCTTTAGTGTGGTGGGTTCGAGTCCAAGTTGGGGTGGCAAGAGTGATGCTCACCCATGCGCAACAAATGGCCTGCCTGAGCATCACAGGTTCCATCAGAACAACACCCACGGCAGCCATGGAAGTCCTACTGGACCTGGCTCCACCAGATTTTCATATCTTCTGCTGCCTTCAGACCAAATGTGATTTGAGTGTTTGGGGCGTCAGGTCTACATGCAAAATCTATGGTGGAGAGACATTGGAAGTGTTGCAGCYTGTCTAGCGTGGCACYTTTTGAAGTGTTTTAAGCGTTTTGACATGTGTACAGCTCYTCCAAAGTGACAGACCCTGGAGTTGGAAAATCGGAACTTTTGCAGCGTGAAGCAAAGCGTCAACAAATCACAGAGACTCTGCTATGGTTCATTTTCTGACTGAACGGTCTCCTGAGTGACCACACACCTGTTGACTCGTGAGGACCAGATCACACACCTGTTGACTCGTGAGGACCAGATCACACACCTGTTGACTCGTGAGGACCAGATCACACACCTGTTGACTCGTAAAGACCAGATCACACACCTGTTGACTCGTAAAGACCAGATCCGTAAATACCAGACCGCTTGTTGACTCGTGAGGACCAGATCACACACCTGTTGACTCGTGAGGACCAGATCACACACCTGTTGACTCGTAAAGACCAGATCATACACCTGTTGACTCGTAAAGACCAGACCCGTAAATACCAGATCACTTGTTGACTCATGAGGACCAGATCACACACCATTTGACTCGTGAGGACAGTATCACACACACCGGTTGACTTGTGAGGACCAGATCACACACCTAATGACTCGTAAAGACCAGATCCGTAAAGACCAGACCACTTGTTGACTCGTGAGGACCAGATCACACACCTGTTGACTCGTAAAGACC